CCACCCATCCATCCATCCATCATATCTATCTATCTATGTAAGGAGCTCTGGTAGCATAATAGTTATGAATTGGGCTGCTAAGCTCAAGGTCAGCAGTTCGAAACTACCAGTGGTTCCATGAGGCTTTCTGATCCTATAAAGATTTACAGTCTCGGAAACCCTATATAGGGTCACTATGAGTCAGAACCTACTCCACGGCACAAAAGCACCATCTATCTATCTATCTATGTATCTATTTATGTATCTATCTATCTATCTGTCTGTCTATCTATCTATCTATCTATCTATCTATCTATCTATCTATCTATCTATCTATCTATCTAAGGTACTATTCTAGTGCAGGAGAAAGATGTAACTCTTTGGTCCCATGAAGATTTAAAGCCTTGGAAATCCTACACAGGGTCAATATGAGTAGGATCTGACTCCATTGCACTTAACAACAACAACATTCTACTTGCTGGTGATACAAGTAGAGGACAAAACACCCATGGTCTTTGTTCTCATAGAATGTATACACTAGGGAAGTCAGGATAAGGTCCTACAAGATAAAGCTGCAATGACTGATATTGACTTTCAAGGCTATCTTCATTGCTTTTTTTCATCTGCCAAGTTTCATCTCTGGATGCCATTTCTCACTTGTTTTTCACCCAGGTACACTTCAGGTGAGGATACTGAAGTTTAGAGGTGGGCAGGAAGTCTGGTGCTTTCGTATCTACAGTATATCGCAGGTATGGGCAGAGTGTAGGGACTCAAAAAAAGATCTCCTCAATGGTCTATTTCATAGTCCCACATTTATTTTTACTTCCTTTGACACCATCCTTGAGATAGGGTGGGACAGGTTTCTTACAGCTAACCCAAATAACAAATCATAGAGTTTGCTCTCTCTCAAAGGTCCTAAGGTCAGGTCCACCAGTAATTTCTGTTCAGTGGACAGCCAGTGTGAGGGAGGGATGAAGCTTGAGAGGTCTTTTTGAGCTGAAGAGACTCTAGAGGCCTCAATGTTAAATAAAGACTCTAGAGCTTCTGGGGGCTTTAGACGCAAAGGACTTTGTAGACTTTGTCATTTCAAGGATAAGAAGTCCAGGTATGATGTTTCCACAGCCTTCATCGACTCCAGTTTATCTTGTTTTTCTGAAGAGATGGGCAAAGAATAAAGAATATTGGAACAAGTCTAGAGGTGAGGTAACCAGATCTGAAAAGGACACCTACCTATGTAAGCAAAGAATTAAGGCCAATTGGAGCAGACATTGGCTAACCCTTTCCTTGCAGTTTCATGGTTTGAACCTGAAACCCTGTCTTTTCTTGCTGGTCCTCCCTATGTCCCCCCAGTATCAGGAACCACCTAACTTTTCCCAGGACTCCTCTGGCAAGTTTTACCTGACTTCTCCAGGCAGGTTCTAATCCTTCCTCCGCTGGCAACCATAACCCTAGCAATCCAGGGATTCACCTAGTTTCTAATCACTTCGTGTTGACTTGGGCTTATGGCATCTCCAGACTGTGCTGACAGCTGAGACCAAACCCTTTGTTTCTACTTCAATGCTATAACTACTGTTGGGGATACTCACACCCTCTTCTGAATGGAGACTCGGCGGTGTGCTGGCATTTGTGCGTAATTGTCTCATTTCTGATAACCCTGTTAATTAATGCTATTGATTTTTCTCCTTCTTCCCTCCCTTAGCCCTTAGCCTCATCTATAAGAGCACATTCTGGCATTCTATAGGATTGAGGAGATTAATTTCTTTATGCCTCTCCCCATGGGTCATTTTATTATCATTCTGACTGGCAGACTCGATTCCAGACACAATGGGTATTTACCAATGTCCAAGTGTCAGAAGATGGGACGGTTATGGATTTTTCTGGGTCTTCTGGCTTCAGAGACGTCACGGGTTTTTGGTGTATTAGGACTTGAGGGTGCTTTTTCTTTGACCTTTGCGATTCTCTTTGCCCATTTCTTCCTGATATGCTTCACTCTAAGGAAATGAACCACCTTATCAGTTCTGGTTCTCTGCCTCCCTGGACTCCCAAATGAGCCCTAATTATGACCCGAAGTCTTGGTTTAGAGCCTTCACAACAATGACAGCTAGCCATGTTATCTAGGAAGAGTCATATAACGTTTCCAGGGGCCGGTCACACATGCTGTAAAATGGGAACCAAACCAAAGAAACCAAATTCACTGCAGTCAAGTCGACAGTGACTTTATTGGACAGATTGGAATGGCTCCACAGTGCTTTCGAGGCTCTGGTTGCGTAGTGGTTACGAATTGGGCTGTGAACCTCAGGGTCAGCAGTTGGAAACTACCAGCTGTTCCGCAGCAGAAAGATGAGGCTTTCTGTTCCTGTAAAGATTTATAGCCTCAGAAACCCTGTACAGGGTCGCTATGAGTCGGAACCGACTCCACAGCACATAATAACAACAATCATTACAGAATGAGTCCTGGTGTGGCGCTGTGGGTTAATGCGCCAGACTACAAAGTCGTTTGAACTGCAAGGTCGGTGGTTCAAACTCACCAGCTGCTCCTTGGAAACCCTATATCGGGTCGTTATGGGTCGGAATCGACTCCACAGCACTTCACAACAACAACAATAATTACAGAAGCAGATCAACAAATCTTTCTCCAGTGGAATGGTTGATGGGTTCAAGCTCTCAACCTTTCAGTTAGCAGTCCAGTGCTCAACACCATTGTGTGCCCAGAGCTCCCTTTAAAATTATTTTTTTAAGTCAATGTCTTAATAATGTTACATTCTTTACAAAATGTAGATCATGACAAGCTGGTGTAGGAAAATTTTGATCAGTATGTACAAATTATAGTTGTTACAATTAGTGTTTAGAAATTTACCACAGCGTGTTAATGATGTACTATGCAGAAGGGGATACATAGCAAAGCAGGTATTGGAAGATTCTATGTTTCCTGGTAGAGTCTTGGTAAGGCACTGTAGGATAAGCACTAGACTGCTAACCAACCACAACGCTGTTGGTTTAAACCCACTAACTGCTACCAGGGATCCTTTCATGGGAACACCTGGCTTATCAGGTCGTGGGACTCAGATGAGGCTACCTCATCTGAGACTATGTTTTGCAAACTGTGAAAAGATTACAGGTCTTCAAGTTCAGCTGATGATACTTTGAAAAGAGCTCTTCAACTTGCCCTTCCGTGTTGTTCCTTTTTCTTTCTCTTTAGATGGTCAGTGAGTCCCAGGGGCCTAACCCTCCCATTGCCCTTGTTCAATCGCCCCAGCTTGGGCAGGCTTGGACCTTTCCTGCTTTGCTCGCAGCACCAGCTTTCTGCTTGGCTTCTGGCCTCCTGGCTCTCACTTTCTAGTCTGTGTCAACCTCAAATAGACACTGTTTTGTCCCAGCTGAACTCTCCTGCTGTGGCTCCCAGTTGAAGATGAAGTCCCTGCGGTTTGGATTGGCCGAGGGTTCTCCTGTTTGAATCTCTGGCCCGACCTCTGGTAACTCTTTTCTTTCCTTTCAAGGCTTCTCGCCAATACCTTTAGCCAAGCTCCAAGGGTCTTTGTGGGTTAACACCAAAGACTTTTTTTCCAGTCTTGTTTTTAGCCATTATCTATATCCTTTTCAACATGCCTTAGTTCCAATTATACAAAGACACTGGGAATTCATCAAATATATCTCTGGGCTTCTGAATACAGACTTTCAAGCCAAAGAGTTCTTAGCCTTCCAGGTCCATCGCAGACAGCACTTTGGGGATGCTTTGCTGGTTTCTTCGGGGCTTCCGTTCCTTCGTTTATCCCCATGGGCCTGGTTTATTTATTGCTCAGTATAGTCAGAGGGTCCTTGGAAGAAATAAACTGATGATCTACTTGTGAAAGATCACAGCCGTGGAAAACCCCGAGGGGCACAGTTTTACTCTGAAACACATGGGGTCGCCAAAAGTCAGAACTGACTACTCAATGGTTAACTGGCGTGATTTATAATTCTGATGGTCTTGGATTGTGATGAGCGGACTTGGGATTTTCCCTTGCTGGATACGGAACTCCTGCAGGGCTGGGGTTCTGTGTTTTCCCTCTGTTTATCACCATCACAGCCAGGACCTTCCAGGTAGCAGGCTTTGGGAGAAGCTCGCTAGTGAATTACATTTAGTCACTTACATGAGGGGGATGAGGCAGAGGAAGACCAACGTGGTTGCGATGACTCCATACAGAACGCCGTGGAGCAGGCTTGTCATGGACTGCTGGGGAGCAGGCTGATTTTCTTCTGGAAGAAAAGAGGATGTCAGAAAGGCTTTTCTTCCCAAGACCTTAGCACCAGGGTCCAAACACTGCTCCTCCTCTAGGTCCAGGGTCTACCCCCAACCCCCTCCCTTACCTTTCTCACCCAGTTATCAAGCCCCCTCTATCCTCACCTGACAACAGTAGGAAGCTCAAACCATAGTTTGCATTTCTGTTCCTTGCCCTACAACTAAGGCTTGTTCCTGTTTGTGGCTTCTTGGTCAAGCTGATGGTGCTGTTGGCCCAGGGACCATGAATGGTGGAAGTCACCTGGAGGTTGTCATCCATGTTGTTCACACGCACAGGGACATTTCCCACCCACCACTTCACAGAGGGTGTGGGGATCCCATGGAAGGAACAACTGCACTGCAGCGGTGTCTTCAAGGAACATGAAGAATTGAGCAGCTTGACAGGCACTAGGGGGAGGTAGGGTTAGGAGTCAGTATTCATTTCCCATGAGCCACTCTTCTCCCTATTCACAAGGAGCTTCAGAAAGACTTTTTAGAGGCCCAGAGCACCTGGATCTCCTTCATTCTCTCTCCTCAGTGGGTCTGAATCTGAACACTGGGCTTTTCAGACTGATGGGGAGTAAAATTTCTACACTGCCTGTGATCTCTTACTTGCCTCTAAGGCTTGTTGTTGTTGTTGTTATGTGCTGTGGAGTCGGTTCTGACTCATAGCGACCCTGTACAGGGTTTCCGAGGCTGTAAATCTTTACGGGAGCGTACAGCCTCATCTTTCTCCCACGGAACAGCTGGTAGTTTCCACTGCTGACCGTGAGAATAACAGCCCGATTTGTAACCACTACGCCACAATAGCCTTCTCTAATTCCTAACTATCTTTCCTTCCCTGTTGTTTCAGGAAGTCAGAGACAAATTGTTGTGCCTTGGATGACTGATTTCAAGCTTTTAAGATACCCCTCCCCAACCCCAGGCATTATGTATAAAACTAGGAAGTTGAACAGAGGCACTACATGTTATTAAACCAATTAACTGGCATGTCCCATGGAAGCATGACCCTAAGCATGTTTATCCTATGCTTGGCCCTGGAGCCTTGGTTCCTCAGGCTCCTTCAGAACAGCTATTCATCAGACTCACCCAGCTTCTTTGGCTGCGTCATCCTGAGCAGCGGAGGTTCTCAGGAACAGGAGGGGTCCAGGTTTTTTACTCTGCTGGTGTGATTCCAGAACCATATGTCCAAAAAGGATGAGATTATGGGTAACTGAAAGAGAAGGTGTAAGTATTCTTAGCAAGCCAGGGGCTCCACCCCCCCCCCTTGCCTCATCCTTAATGCCTATTCATCTTGAGAGGCAGGAATTAATTACATGGGGGAAGATGCCCTAGAGTTTCTAGGGACAGGACAGCAATCCCTGGAGTCATCTGTGAGACCCCAGTGCCATGTCTCCAGGCCTGGTGGGGGAGGGATGAGAGAGGTGTGGTGGTCTGGAAAGAATGCCATGCTTCAGGGGGTGCATGTGAATGATGACAAGAAAAAGACAGAGTGAAGAGAAGGTTGGGAAACACGATAAGGACAGGCAGGGAGTGGGGTCAGTCAGCAGAGCCCTGAGCAGACCCTCTGTAACACAGATAGGGGAGACCTAGGGAAATATACAGATGGTGATCCTGGAAACCTGGGCATCAGCAGATACGACAGAGAGGTGGACTGAGTGCCAACTGGGAGAGGAAGTTGAACAAGAGCAGTGAGCGAGGAGAAGAGGTGGACTGTGGGCTGGTGTGGCATGGCATGCTGAGGACATTTTGAGTTTTTGCAAGTGGCTGTTAGTACAGTGGCCTGTGAACACAGGATGCACCTGCAGGTTGGCAGCAAGGAAGTGCGATTCTCCCTTGTTCCCCTGCCCTCCAGGTAGCTGGGGGTCTGGTCAGTTCCTGCCTTTGTCAACCCAGAAGCCAGTGGCACCCGCTCCTGCACATTCTCTGCTCTACCTGGGGTCAGGTGCCGTGCACATGTCCCTGTTTCTGGAGGTGTGTGAACCCGCCCTGGACTATACTACACAAACAGTGAACAGAGAACGGACTGAATTCACACTTTCACTCTCTATCACAACCACCAGGACACAGGTGGCGAGTGCCTGAGATCACACCAATCACAATCAGCAGCAGTCAGCTATTAATACGGCACCACCACGTCTCAGGGAAAACTGACAATTTCAGCTTACAGAAGGAGACAAGACAGAGTGCTTCAAATAAGTGACCTAAAGACAGAGTCAGAAAGTATAAAGTCAGAAACAGTACTAGAGCTACCTGAAAAGGAATTTAAGTCGAATGCTAACTAGGCAACTTCAACAAATTGAAAAAAATGATGAAAACAAAACAAAACAAAAACTATAGGTAAAATCAAGGAAAACATAGACAAAAGTTTAGAAGAATTCAGGAAACAAGCTGACAAAATAAAAACAAACAAACAAACAAACAAGGAGGGGGGCATACAAAAACAGCAATCAGAAACACAGATTAACAAGACTTCAGAAGCAGAAAATAGTAAAAGGACAAAGGAGCACAATTGAAGCAATGGAAGGCCGGATTACTAAACTTGAAGAAAAATCTCCTAATATTTATCTGTTAGAGGAACAATCGGCAAAAAGAACAAAAGAATCTAAAGAAAGCCTAAGATTTATGTGGGACACTGTGAAGAGGATTGGCACTGTGGCCACAGCAATGGGCTCAAGTGTAACAATGGTTGTGAGAATGGCGTCGGATGGGGCAGCATTTCATTCTGTGATGCACATGTTCTCTGTGAGTCGGAACTAACTCGATGGCACTTAACAACAACATCATTTTGGGGAATGTTGGAGTGGAGCATGATGGCTCTGTAGGATAAGCACTGGTCTACGAATCACAAGGTCAGAGGATTGAGCCCACCAGCCTCTCCCACGGGAGAAAGAGGAGGGTTTTTTGTTGTTGTTGTTGTTCCAGCAAAGATACACAGCCTCAGAAACCCCATACAGTGTTGCTAAGAGTCAGAACCACTAAAGCAAACAACAATTAAGAAGAATAATTCATATGTGATTTGAATTCCAGGACAGGAAGAAACAAAAATGAACAAACAAACAAACAAAACAGCCGTAAAAATGTATAGGAAACTACAAAACCTATACAAGAAAAAGACCAACAACCCATTGGACATGAGCAGACACTTCACCAAGGAAGACTTCCAGGCAGCCACAAATATATGAAGACATGTTCACTGTCATTAACCATTGTTGTTGTTGTTAAGTGCCGTCATGCCTGTTCTGACCCATAGCGACCCTGTACAGGGTTTCCAAGAAGTGGCTAGTGAGTTTGAATCACCACCTTGTGGTTCACCGCCACTGTGGTCCAGTGCCCACCCTACATAGCCACATCAGGAATTCAGGTATATAAGTATTTAAAGTAAAACAAACCTACAAGAGTGAAAACAGGAACCAGATTTATCAATTTATAATGAAGTCAACTACAAAGCAAAAAGAGGGAATAGTGTAGATACAGAACTTCCAAATGGCAAGGAAGTCAAGCAGATTTAAAGATAAAACAGACTACTTTAGACAGGAAAAATATAATAAATTACAGGATAACCACCAAGAAAAAGAATACACCTTCACATTAAAACAAAAAAGGTGAAGACCAGGAAGATTTAGTTAACATTGTTATAGCTAAGTGCTGTCGAGTCAATTCTGACCCATAGTGACCCTGTATAGGGTTTCCAAGGAGCAACTGGTGAGCTTGAACCACTGACCTTGCAGTTCAAACGACTTTGCAGTCTGACGCATTAGCCTACACTGCCACAACAGAAATGAAAACAAAACAAAACAAAAATGTACTCAGTGCAGAAAATTATGTGGAGCAAAGAAACCAGCAATACCACACACGCTAAAACACACAGCAAAATGACAGCAACCAATTCATATCTATCAATAATTACACTGAATACAAATGAATCAAATGCAACAGACAAGAGACATAAAGTAGTAGAATGGATAAGAAAACAGGATCCTTCTGTATGCTGCCTACAAGAGGCACATCTTACACACAAAGACAGAAGCAGACTGAAAACCGAAAGAATGGGAAAAAATATGGTGCTAATGGTAGCCAGAGTGCTCCTTAGAAGTTAGAATAGTGAGACTTTGCTTCCCATAGTTTGGACATATTATTAAGAGGTCCCAAACCCTGAAGAAGGACATTATGCTAGGTAAAGTGACAGGTCAGCAAAAAAGAGGTAAATCCCAATGAGATGGACTGGCACAGTGGCAGTAGCAGTGATTGTGAGGTTGGCGCAGGAATGGGTAGTGTTTCATTCTGTTGTGCATAAGGTCGCTATGAGTCAGCACTGACTAGATTCTGACTAAATGACAACACTTAAGAACGACAAGAAAGTATGAGCTGGAGTAACTATTTTACCCTGTGATAAAATAGACTTTAAGGGAGAAACTAGCATAAGAGACAAAGAAGCACATTATATTGTGATTAAGAGGTCAATTGAACAAGAGGACACAACCACAATCAATATTTATGTCCCCAACGAAAGAACCTCAAAATATATAAATCAAGCTTTAATAGTACTGATGAAATAAATAGACACCTTTACAATAATAATAGGGTTATTTGAATTATTTGCTCAGCATACAGATTGACTAAGTAAGTATGGTAAAAGAACACAACCCTGGCACATATCTTTCCAAATTTTAAACCATTTGGTGTTCTCTTGTTCTGTTAGAACACCTGCCTCCTGGTCTATGTACAGGTTCCCCATGAACACAATGAAATGTTCCAGAGTACTCATTCTCTGCAATGTTGCCCATAGCTTGTCATGAGCACACAATCAAAACCTTTGAGGAATCAATAAAGAATAAAGTAGTAAAAAACAAAACAAAACATCTTTCTGGTATTCTCTGTTTTCAGCCAAGATCCATCTGACATCAGCAGTGATAGTCCTCATTCCATGTCCTCATCTGAATCTTCCTTAAGCCTCCAGAACTTCTCTGCCAATGAGTAGTTGCAGATGTTTTCGTACTATGTTTAGCAAAATTTTACTTGCATGCAATATTAATGATATTGTCTGTTGGAGACCACCAAGACACAGGAGGAAGGGAGTCACATCTGAGCCACGGCATAAGGAAGCAGAAAGCTACTCCTTGATACTAGTGCCATGACAGAAAGCCGGATTGGTACGCGATGACCAGATGTGATAACCGGCACCTTGCTTTGTTCTCTCTCGAAACCCTGAATTATAGTCTTGTTTTCTCTCCTCTAAGAACATTTCCTTAATCTGTATAATGTCAAAAGACCCCTTTGATATCAGTGATGTACGGCATCCTGGGGGTTGAAAAGGCTGGAGGGTAATAAATACGGAGTACCGCCATGTCTTGGGGCTCTTGGTCCTAGAGATCATGAGTTCTGCTGGGCTCTTGATCCTAGAGGTCTCCCTTGATCCCTAACTTGTGTCTGTGTTTTATTTCTGAGTTGTGCCATCTCCGCCACTCTGTCCAATGACATCCACATTCCACTGGGTCACCTCTTTGGAATGGGCACAAATATGGATCCCTTCCAGTCAGTTGGCCAGGTAGTTGGCATCCAAATTTCTTGGCATAGATGAGTGAGTGCCTCCAGTGCTATATCATTTTGTTGGAAGATTTCCATTTGTATTCCATCAATTTCCAGTGTTTTGTTCTTTGACAATGCCCTCAGTATACCTTGGACTTCTTCCTTCTGTAACACTGGCTCTTGATCGTATTGTTACCTCTTGAAATGGTTGAGCATCGACCATTTCTTTTTGGTACAGTGACTCTGTGTATTCCTTCCATCTTCTTTTGATGCTTTCTGCATGCTAAAATATTTTACCCATAGAACCCTTCAGTATTTCAAGTTGAGGCTTGAAAAATTCTCAGTTTCCTAAACTTGAGAAATGCTGAGCGTACTCTTCCCTTTTGGTTTTCCAGCTCCAGGTCTTTGCACATTTCATTACAATATTTGACTTTGTTTTCTTGAGCTGCTTTTTGTAATTTTCTGTTTAGCTTCTGTACACCTTCATTTCTTCCATTTGCTTTAACATCTCTACACTGAAGAGTAAGTTTCAGATCTCTTCTGACATCCATTTTGGTCTTTTCCTTCTTTCTTGTATTCTTA